GTATTCTTGGGTATCCCCCAAGATGTAATTAACCAGTAGGAACACGTTCCTCTGGGAGTGCTCTTGACCCCAGAACATGTACATACACCTGACTCTCTGGTTATGAGTAGTCTATGTAGATACTTCTTTCGTGGATATTGGTTTAAGGTGCATCCGCCCGATCTTGTTTGGGCGAACATTCTTAACATATCCTTGCGAGGTTTATCGCACGTAGACTCTCCACATTTTACTTTTTCTCTTGTTTGTGACTTTGTCGTATGTCCCTTCTTATTCGGTTCCTCTCCTCCTCAAATCATACATATGGTTCGGGAGGGAGATTTATTCGAATGGGGGAAGTATACAACGATTGACAAGCTGACGACTCCTTTTAAAATAAAAAAAAGAGAAAAAATAAACGAAAACAAAAATTTCATATATTCTTAAATCACATAAATTGAAAATGCATAAAAACTACGGTTCAATCTATATAAAAACTTAAATTAAGGATTGAATCTAGATTACCTCGATTTGATTGTAAGATATTACGATTTGGTGAACCGTATAGCAGAAAATCGAAGGAAAGGGGTGGGTTCGACGTTCGCGAGAGCTAGAGGAGAGGAAATGAGAGAATTTTCATGTCGGTGCACTATCTAAAGACTTTTCGACTGCATACCTACTCTACAAGCACCTTCAGTTCTTAATTACTTAATAATTGATGGATTTAGCTGTCAGTTACTATGATATGACCGTTAGTTTTTAATATAAAAAATCGATGTCATTGTTTTACGATGACTTGTGACCGTTGGTTTAAAGTTTACATTAAACCGATTGAAATAAACTTAGTTTATCTTCAAACTTTGTTGGAAAGGATCTTTACTAGATAGCTAAGTCTTTAGGAGTTAGAAAGCTTTCAGAAATTATGTTTCATGCATATAAAGGAATTTAACTCGATATTTTCAACTAAAGAAAAGTCATCGATTATTCTGCTAGTATATGCTATTTTTCTCGTAGTGAAAATCTAGACTTGCACTATTTTCTTTATGTATAGATTATTTATTTGTGTTGGTGGACTTAAATTTATCAACTGTGTTGAGATTTGGATTGTGTGGCTCTATTGTTGGTAATATGATGGTTGTTTGTAATGATCTTATCAATTGTGCCAAGGTGATATTCCTTTCATGCAACTGGACAACAAGAATCTCAATGTGTTGATGGAAGACTAATCTTTACACAATTTCAGCTTGTTCTTTCATGACTTGTCAATTTAAGAATTTGTTGGTATTTTAAGAATATATCTTGATGAAAGTTGGCTTACTTTTGTTTAGAATACAGTGGAGTACCTTGTTGATGTTCATTAGTATTTGGTTGGAGTTATTATTTATTATTATTGTTAAGCATACTTTTTAATTTTGGTAGCGAGTGCCATTTTTAAGCTGCCATATGACATTGTGTTGTGGCTGAATTTAAAATTTATGGAAAAAAGTAATTTGGAATAGTTATATTGCTTGCAGCGTTGGTCGAATTTGATCCTCGTGTAGCTCCTCAAGTCATTGAGAACCTGGGGCAAATTACTATTGATTCTTCTCTCAAGGATTACCTCTCCACTCATCCTTCCAGAAAAAAAAAAAAAAAACACAAGTTTTATCTCATGTGGAAGTCATGAATAAAGCTATGACATTTTACAGGTAAACAATTACATGCCACAGAATAGGAGGATTTCTCCAAGTATCATCCTTGTGAGTTCTTATTTTATCAATGGGGCAATTACATACATACCACTTAATTCCTATGTATTTACATATCTAACACCGAAGCTCCAATTTTTACATAGATGCCATTTTATTTTTGTATATGTTGAATCATGGATCACATCTAAGGAGTAGAGCATAAGACGAGAGAGAGAGAGAAGTACATAGTAATGAACAATAATCATTCTTATCGATTTTCCCTTTCTCATAAAATGATCTCTGTTTATAGAGTAGGTACAATGTGTAAATTTATATTTTTTTCCCTTTCTTTAATGGAAGTGTTATATTATATTTGTTATGAAGAGCTACAATTTATTAAGGTGTGAATGGTGGGAAACTTAGAGACTGGACTGAAAGTTTCAGTGTACTTTTAAGTCATATTCTTGTTGAAAGCCTTGAGCTATAAGCACGCCTTGTATCTTGCCATGGCGCCATCAGCTTTCCTGTTGATGTGAAATGTCCATTTGCAGTTAAGGATCGGATGGTTGGTTGGAGGAGCAACTAATTTCTCAGTTTTGTTGAGAATGAAGTGCTGAAATTTGCTCATCCATAACTTGTTGCCATTGAAGGGAACATGTCGTCTGCTTATAGTTGGAGGGTTCTGCAGCTTTGGTCGTATGATGTATGAGGTCAAATGTGCATTTGGCTAGAAGGGAACCTGATTTATAACGGGTGGTATATGCAGGGGAGGACGACTATTTTACGGCTGATGTAGGTTGTGGAATTGAAGATGGTTGAGGGAAGGTAATTTTGGAAGGCTGCTGTGATGTAGAGAAACTGGTAGTAGGTAGAAGCATAAATGGAGGTATGGTTGGGAGTTTGGGTGGTTGTGGTGTAGTGACAAGTTGGTTGTATTGAAGGATTTTTCATTAAATATAGCATGTTGAGAGGGTTATTTTACCTGTGGCAGGATTGAAACCCTTGCAGCCGTTAATGTGTTAAGGATATCCCAGGAAACCTCATGACTTCGACCGTTGTTAGATCTTGTTTTGTTTAGAGGGGTACGAGCAGCTAAGAAAAGCACTCACATTCAAAATATTTTTAGTGACTCTAATGGGGTGGATGTCCATGAAGCAGTTGATATGGTGATAGGTTGGATGTGTTTTGTGATGGCAACCGATTGATGTGATAAACAGTGGTGACTGCTATTTCAAACCATAATGAGGGTAGAAGATTAGATTCGACTAAGAGCTAGAGTTGTCTCAAGTATGTTGCGGTGTTTGTGTTTGGCAATTCCATTATGTTCTGGAGTATGTGGACAGGTTGTTTGATGAATGATGTTGTTATTAAGTAGGACATCGCTGAATTGCAAGATTTATGCTCTCCACCTCTGTTGGTTCTTAGAGTTTTAATCTTCTTATTGAGTTGAAGTTCAACTAGCTGTTTCAATTTGATGATGTTAGACAGAACTTCAGATTTGTGATCGATTGAGTAAAGCCATGAAAAGTGAGTTGAATCATCATCAAATAGAACGTGGTAATTAGACTCTTGAATAGATGCTGTTAGGGATGGTCCTCAGTTATATGAATGTATCGGTTCTAGTTGATTACTTTGAGTATAACTAGAAGAAGAAGATAAATAATGACATTTAACAGTGGTATATGACTCGTAAAAAGGAAAAGAGCTATAATTTAAGAGATCTGGTTGTTGGTTTGCTATGATTGCAAGAGTTTGGTTACTAGAATGTTCCAAACGTTGATTGTTTGAGTTTTTATAGGTTGTGGTGGAGACAAGCTTCTTGAGTCTCTGGAAGTGGATTCAACCCATTGCGGCAATGGCCTTGAAGAAGTATCTGTTGTTCGATTCGGTCCTTTATTTGATAACCGACAATGTTAAAGATTATGAGACAATTATTTTCAGCGGCAAGTTGGTAGATAGAAATTAAGTTAGAGATAGTTGAGGCGAATGAAAATGTTTGGAGAGGATAGGCTTACAAGAAGGTGTTGGTAAGTGATCGTGTCCAGAATACTGAATGGGGAGTGTTTCTCCGTTGCCGGCATGATTTTGATATTAACCATGACAGGGGTTGACTGCTTGAATTTGATATAAATATGTTCTCAAGTGGTTTGTTTCGTTGGCTTCTGGATACCAATCGAGAGTAGTGGAGGATGTAAGAAGAGTAGTAGTTGGTGGAGGACTGGTTGGTTGATAGTTGACGTTATGTCTATGTCAGCATTCTGAGTTACGTGTCTGTAATTGTTGTAGATTTAACAGTGAATTATGCTAGTTCCTCTGTTTGGATTGGGGTTCGAGTATTTGATTGTGGTATCTCCAACACCTTTGTATCCCTGATTGCCACAGTTGATCCGGCCTTTGTCGGAGTTATACATACTCTTGCCTTTATTTGTGTAAAGAGCTAGGTGAGGATCAGCTATGGGAAAGGTTGAATTGTCATTGGCGAGATTGATTTCTTCCTTGAAGAGAAGAGAACATAGATCCTCTCGGGCAATCAAATTAAATTGTGTTCTAATGACTATCTTGAAGACTTGATAGGCTGCGGGCAGACCTTTGAGGGTGTATAGGATGATATCTTAGGTGTCGATTGAGGTGATGGCTACTGGCATGTTTTCATCCAGCATTTTGAAATGAGTTTAGTACTGTGTCATTGCTAGGTTTTTCATGAATACATTATGGAGTTCGTTTTTCAGCTGATTACCCGTGATCGATCGGTAGCTTGCAGCCTTTTTTCCATTGTATGCCAAATTTCGGAGCAACTATCACAGCTTAGCACATATGGGAGGATGGTGGTAGAGATAGATGAGGGGATGGATGTGGCAAGGTTCTGATCAACCAGCGTCCAGAGGGAATAATCGAGATTGGGTAGAGATATACTATATACATTGGTGATGATAGGAGATGGCTGCTGAGTTGATCCATCAAGGAAGCCTGGAAAACCATTGGCCTTCACGATTATGAGGATCTGGAATCTCCAAACCGGGTAGTTGTCCATGGAGAGTGAGTTGGTAATAACGGCTATGATATTGGTCATGAGAAATTTCAGCGATTGGGGGATTCCCACACCTCAGACTGAGTCTCAAAGTCGTTGAATATTCGGTCAAACATACATACTTATGTTACTGTTAACTTTCTACTCCAATGCTCTATACTTCAGAAACTATATTAGAAAATTCAACAGTAACAAAAAAAAGTATAAATCACAAGGAAAGTTATATTAGGTGAAACCTTTGAATGTGCAGTCAAGTAGATCAAGTTATTTTCATATACAATCAGTTCTTATAATAAGCAAATTTTTCAAAGCTTGGCCCAAAAAAAAGATCTAATTTAAGCTTAAGAATCATATATAGTTCCTTATTCGGTTTGCTGGACGCTAGAAGTATTGGAAAAAGATCACTGAGATCAATGTACTGCCATTTGAGACCTCTTCCACTTCACAAGAGAAGTGAGAAACACCAAGACCTACAAATGCAAAATTTTTAAAGACAAATGTCAATTAAATTAGCATATAAATCATTAAATGACAATGCAAGGATGAAATGCTGAACGTTTACGTTTACCTCTGATGGGTCTTTGAGTGAGAAATGGGCACTGGTTTTTTAAGGGACAGATGAAACCAAAATGCCATAGCCCCAGTTCTTCTCTCTTAAGACCTGCAAATGTATTTTACGCATCTACTTCGACTTTGATAGCTTTAAATGCAAAACTATAGAATCATCCATTAGAATAACTTCATCAAGATTGTTGGTACATGTAATAACTCTGGAAGATTTACATGCATACCCCTTATTCTTATGTATTTTCGTATTTAAAATCTAAAGTCATTTCATTTTTTAGAACTCGAAAAAGACGTATTTTTGATGTGATATGAATGATTTGGGTGATATAAATATAAAAAATAAAGTTTTGTTATTATATATTAAAAATCATGGGAATGGAATGGAATGTATTTAAATGAAGAACATGATCTTGAGTCTGAATTTTATCTCAAATAATATTTAACAAATAAAATTAGAAGCATATATATGATAAATCTCCTCCTTGGTGAATAAATACGTAAATCTTGTTAAATCCTTGCTACCAAACACCCCCTAAGTTCTATTTACCTTGAATGCATCCTCATCAGTAAGATCATCTCCAATATATATAGGCAGCATGGTTTTTTGGTCATTCAGTCCTAAAGATTCAAGCAGGAACTCGACAGCAGTCCCTTTATTCCAGTTAATTTTCGGGCGGATTTCTAAAACCTGCACCATCAGCACCAGTTAAGAAAATGATTAAAATTTCTTAGCTTTATGCAATTTGTACCGTTAGTATTTCGTTAAAAATATAAACACAGGTAGGGGTGTGAACGAACCGAACAGGAACGAATAGAGCTTGTGTTCGTGTTCGGTTTGTTTGAAATTTAGTTTGTTTGAAATAAGCTCGTGTTCGAAATTGTTCGTGAAGTCACTGTTTGTGTTCGTTTTTTAATGAACGAGTCGAACACGAGCCGAACACGAACTGTTGGTGAACGATGAGCCAGTTTGACATCCCCTAGTTTGACATCGCTAATATTAATATATATAAATAATATATTATATTAATTATATAAATTATATTATATAAATATATAATATCTATATTAGTATATTACTAATATATTGTTATTATTAATTTATACATTTTTTTAAATATTATAAATTTTTATATATAATTATTTTAAATTATTTTATATTTCAAACAATAACGATTCGAGCACGAACGAACGCATCACTCTTGTGTTTGGTTCGTTTAACTTACCGAACGAAAAAAATTTGTTCGCGTTCGTCTCGTTTACTTATCGAACGAATCAAACACGAACTAATTGATGAACCGAACACGAACTGTTCGCGACCAACGAGCTTTTTTGACAGCCCTAAACACATGTAAATACTGAACTAAAAAACTCTTTCTAAGCATCTTACTTACCTTCTTCCCGTAAGTTAGTTTCAAAAGAGGATAGTTGTTGAGGATGTCTTGGACACGCTCAGCAATCACGTTCCAACTCTACATGCCGAAGGAGGAAGAAATGGCTTGTCAATATTTGTGCAATGAAATATAAATAAAACTGTAAATTTGTCAAGTATTTAGGATAATACGTTCTCGTCCACTTGTCTGTAATGCACAGAAAGGCAGAACTTATTATTCTCAACTTTTGAGCCTTTAATATCCTTTGTCTTCTCGACGAGGGATTTGAAAACCTGCTGGAAAGGAAAGTGGTTAGCACTGAAATTCGACGGGAAAAAGGAACCAAGTATCACTTGAAGATATAAATGATACCTCATCGATCATCGTTGAAAACTCGCTTGCAGGTTGAAACAAATGTGCATCATGTCCCTGCAATAAGTAATTGAGATATAATGTTTACATCCCAAATTGGAAAGTAGAAATATGTGTGTTGTGTTCGAGTTTTGTTTCGAAAAGATTTAAGAAGAAAAATAGTGAAATAAAAATGAGTTTTTTAAAGTTATTCCTTTTCTTTCTTAACATTCCTCTTATAATATATATATATATTTTTTATCTTATATTTTTCTTTTTTGAATTCAATTAAAACATATTTATCTTTTGTAATTATTTTTAAAAATATGCAAAACATCATTAACTATTTTAAATATTTTTAAAAATAACTTGTTTTATTCATTAAAAAGAAAAGATAAACCTAATTTACATCAACTAAATATATTTTTTAAAAATAAAAAAATAAAAAAAGATATATGAAGCAAAAGTGATGCCAAAAAAAATCACATTTCATTTTAAGAAAATAAAAAAAAAAGTGGGATAAAATGATATGCTTTATCACCTGCTTATGAGGACGAAAAACACAATTGTGATTTTCATCATAATAGTTGACTGGGGCACCTATGTCCATACCATGGCTACCAGCATAGTAAACTTCTTGTAACCCAACAAATTCGTAAACCTAAGATTCCCGACATAAATAAAAATTATTAAGATATTGAAAAAATTTAGTCCTCCACAAGTAGAGGTACATTCTAAGTAGGGTCATAATCAATCTCTTTCTTAAAGTGAAGCTATCTGCCCCCCAAGATCCAAAGTGGGGGGAGATAAGGCAATGAAAGGTGAAGTGATATTTTAAGATGGATAAAATAAAAATCTGAATTTGAGAGAAAACAATTAGCTCCTAAAAAAATTGATAATAAGTACCTTATGACGACTTCGCCCACTAATAATGGCAGTGGGAAAAATGTTAGCAATATTTTTAACAGCAGCGCGCATCTGGAAACCAAACAATATTGACAAAAATCAATATCAATAATAAGTCATAACAACTAACAACTTTTCTTTTCTAAATGAGCAATTGTATTACTTACTGCACTGGACATAAACGCATGATCAGGATTGTCCACAATAGGCGAAAGAGTTCCATCGTAGTCCATGAACATGGCAATCTTCTTCTCATTAGCATACTTTATTATTTGGTCAAACAATGCTAATGCTGACGGATACTTCTTCTGCAAAATAAATAATATTTATTTATATATATTAATATTAAATATATATAAGAAAATGATTAGGTAATTACCACCCAATTGTGATATGATGCATCATCATCCTCACAAGCATCATCAAGGCTAATGATACTTTTGCTAGGTGCTTTCTTACAAGGAGGCAATGAAGATTTCATGGCACCAGTCCTGCTTGCATATGTAATCAATCATACAATCCTAATTAACTGCAAATCAACTATAAAATAATAATTCATAATTAGAATTATTAACATTTTTATTATTAGAATATGTTAATATTAAGATATCAACTATAAAATAATAATTCATAATTACATCTAAGATACCATGAAGTGAAATGAAATAATATGTGCAAAATTAGGAAAATATTTGCGCAGCTCTGCGTACGTCGGGGGTTATTCAGAGCATGCAAACGGGTTATATCCGCTTTATACCCTCCTGTAACCTCCCTGTAACTTACCTGTAACTACCGGAACTACAGAAGCGCGAAACTTATTTGTAGGTTACAGAAAAGTTAAAAGGGAGTATAACACGAATATAACCCTCTTATGCCTTCTGAATAATCTCACGATGTAGACAGTTTTACATACGTACGCAAATATTTTCGGCAAAATTAATAGTTAGTGAAATAATTTTTATAAAAAAAACTGACTTGCACTCGGTTGCGGCAGAGAATGCACGGCAAGAATCACAAGCAGCGAGAATATTCCTTAATAGCTTGTAGAACTATGCTCCTCGAAAGTGTCAGATGCACTTGAGATTTAAATTGAGCCACGAGATTCTGACTCCCTGCCTTAATAAGTAAATAATAAGTAATTTTTTTATGTGTTATGCAATTATTTAATTATTTTTTTACTCTAAATTTAGTATATTATATCGTAATTTATTTATATTAAAAGATAGAATTTATCACGTGAAATCCGAATGAGAAAAATAGCAAAATACCATAGACAGTGTATTTTTATAAATATTATTCATAAATTTTTTTCCCAGAAAAAAAAGAAAGATGATAGAAGTAATAAGAGTTGTATTGTAAGAATATTCATCCTATCTCCTACATTCTTATTTTATCTTATGTATTTAATTAATTGTATTGGATGCGTGCCGTATAGTTCACAACGGTAGAGTAATAAAATATTGTCTTAGCGTTGCATGAGAATTCAACACACATAGTCAGGTGAAAAAAAAAATAACTAGTAATGACACTATAAGTTTTTACATGGAAAAAACTGAAAAGAGAAAAAACTACGGGGTCTGACCCAGTTGTAAGAATCCACTATATGTTCGTGATTACAATAACCTCTTGTCCCACAGATGTGAAAGAGTTACTAGATTTTTCTAGTTACAATGTAGTTGAAGGCTTCTGGTTGATTGTTGTTGACGACAATTGGTGGTGATTGACGTTAGTTGTTGATTGTTGACGATAGTCGACAACGATCGACCGGTGTTGACGACGACCGTCAGTGGTCAATGACGGTCGCCGATGGTCGATCGCTGTTGTTGACGACTATCGGCTGCGATCGAAGGCTGTCGGTGACAATCGAAGATGGTAAGTATGGTGTTGGACTTCACCTCCTTCTAAAAACCTCAAGTTCTCTCTCAAGGCTCGGGCTCCCTCTCAGGAGAGGGGTGAGACTCTATTTTTAGTGTTTTAGGTGCAATTAATGTCGCAATATGAACTACTTTAATCAAACGGTCCAGAAAGCTTCCCTCAATCAAACAGCGTTCGATGGACATTTGAGTGTCTTAACATTGTCGGAATTGAGCAATCTTGGGCTCGTTGGACTCGTTCTGTCGAGGCGCTCGATTCGACCATAATATTTCTAGCTTCAACATTCATTCAACCTTCTAAATATGTCAGAAAAACTTTCAAGTGTGGTTTAATGATTTGATCTGAGCTTGATTTGACTTGGATTGAACCAATTTTGATATCACGGTTTGTCTTGTCAAGTCGATCAGTTTAACTATAAGCTTGTTGAAATTGATGGTCCGGGCAAATTTTTAACAAGATGCTCAAAATATTATCTCGAGATTCGTGGCATGCCTCAAGATTCGTGCCGGATGATGAGAATTTGTTGATGACGTATGAGTTGCCCCCTATTTTCAGGCGAGACCATTTTGGTCGTTCGAAAATATCAAAATCTGCAATCTTTTAGTTTTATCATGTATATATGTATGTGTGTGTGTGTGCGTGTGTGTACATATTACTATTATTATTAATGATTTATAAGGTAAAAAGCTAAAAGTTGGAATGTGGAAGGTCATAGGATCGAATGTAAAATGCTAAATGTTTACAGAATTGTGGATTTCAATATATATATATATGTATGTATGTGTGTATGTATATATATATATATATATATATA